TGAAGTAATAAAATTTTACACTGACATTTGACAATCGATGCGTCGCCATTGCCATCGACAGCGACATCGCCAGCGCCAGCGCCAGGACATCGCGCTCGTGTCCGTGTCCGTGTTGCCAACGTTGTCAAAAAAAATTGCGCGATAATCAAATGGAATGGTTGCAATGGGAACTGGAGGAAGACCGTGTTAATTTGATTAACTAAAATTAAGATTAAGCAAAGAGGATATGCCGGAATCACAATAGAAATAGAATCACAGGAAATCGAAGAATAATACAATTTATGCAGCTTATAACATTTTGGATGAATATTGGATATATATTCTTGATCAGCATCAATAGTCGGCTCGATCTAGCCATGCGCGTCACAATCAAGTATGTAACATCCCTGAATATTAAATTATGGTTGAGAAATGAGTACATAAAACTTAATTCGTTTTTTAAGTAATGTAAACATCTTTTTTTTAATCTACGTGGATTACCTACGTACGCTTACCCTAGTCAGGTGAAAATCCAGGTAAAGCTCTATACATGTGAATTTTCTGGTCTGAACTCTTGACTAATCTCTACGGTCGAAGAAAAATGCAATGTTTGCCAGTCAATTTACATTTCATATACACTTTGTGTGAGTGAGTTTATTTACGTTTCGAAATGGCTAAAAAGTCGGGAGACGTGCGCCCCATTATGGGCCGCATATTGCCAGACATTTATTTACCGTAATTTACCCACACCGATGTCTAATTAAATTTACCGGCGATTAACCAACTTGCTGGCTCAACTCAAAACAGAAGCACACACACGGAGACCAACGAACCGGAGAGACGACAGTAATTCGTTTATAATGCGTAGGACATGTTGACAATGCCACAGGACATTCGTAATGAGAAGGCAAATGTGACAAGGGGGCTGGAGGGTGAAGGAGGGCTGGATGCATCAAAAGCGAAGAAACTTCCCGGTTTGGCAACTTGAAAGCCGCCCACAGACTTTGACAGACGCGGCAGAAGGAAGATGAGCAGCAGTAGCAGCTGCAGCCGCTTGATGGGGTGGTATAGGAGAGGGGCAGGAGACGGTGGCTGGTCAGACGGGGGTTGGCCCGCTGACAGTTTGGTGCGCTGCCATCCGGACGCTTCAAAGGTTCGCCGGGCTTGACGCATGTAAATGTGGTTGAAGTAATGACGAAATGGGCACTAGACACACTCACACACACACACATACACATACGCGCTGGCAGACAGACAGACCCACAATAATGCTTCCCCCTTGGCCCAATCCTTTGACTTTGAGCCGTGCGGTGGTCGCCGGCGACGCTGCCTGTTGTTGATGTTTGCCCTCATTATTGTTGTTGTTGTTATTGCGGTTGACATCGTTTTGTTTGCCTAAAGGACGAGCGCATATTATTGTTGTGCGTAATGATGGGTGGGTGGGGCGGTTGGCAGGTGCTCTATGACTTTTTTGTAGTACGAGTATTTGTCGGCCGCGCATAAACCCCTAAATCCGGCTTCCGTGGGTCGCCCATCGCCTTCTACTTGCGCTAATCCCTGATGTGTCTGTGACATTTGCACTGACAGTGACAACACTTTGATGGGCACACCCAGAACCAACTCCAGTGGCTGAGCCAGTGACGACAATGACAACGAGACAAAAGATCTATCTAAGGCATGCCGAAGATAAAACACCCTAGTTGGAATATGTCTTAGCAGTGATTCGAGGCAAATGATTTATTTATAATATAGTAGCTCGATTTGATACGGGTTGTTGAAAGAATGAAGTTTGGTCAAAGTAGCTTGAAACTCAAGAAAGCTTATAATACATTTATTTGACCCATTCTTTCCAGGTCTATGGAACGATAAATCAGTCCATTTGGAATAAGAATTAATAAGAATTGCAAGTAAGCTTAAAATATCTTAAAATATTTTGTTCTTTGAATAAGAAAACATTTTTTCCAATAATTTCTATGCCAGCTACATGATATAGTAGTTCATTTCGGTAGATTACTCCATATGTATTGAGAGAGATCAACCTAGCTACTTATATGTACAGTTTATGAAGTCGGACAGTGCTTTTCCGATTTGTTACACATTTTGTGACAAAACTAATACCCTCTTTGAGGGTATTTTAACAATAACGCGATATTTCCATGCGACTTGCCTCCGGCCGTCCTTGCGCTTTGTTGTCCAACCTACGCAGTCACTCCCAGCGGCTGGCTGGCTGGCCTTGGTCTTATCTTGGTTCCCGGAATGCTCTGCTTATTAGATGGAAGCCCTTTAAGTGGGTTGCTCAATCATTTGGGGTTAATTCGTTGTCCGGCGCTGGTGCGAACTCAATTAAAAAGCTGTTTTCGTGTGCCTTTCATTTGCAAGGGTATGCGCGACTCATGGATACACTTGGCCCACAACTATCCCACGCCTGTTGGCCAAGTGAAGAGCCAGAGATTGAGCACTTGGCTAATGTTCTCTAATCGCATTGAGGGATCTTCAAAACTGAGTCGTAAAGGTTTTGCCAGCTGCTGCCGTGTGACGGCTGCTGCGACAGCCTGTTGCAAGTCTTGTGTTGCAGCAGCAACAACAACAGCAGAAACTTTTGTCACCCGCATTTTCCGCCAAGCTGGAAAAAAGGCAACTGGCGCAACAAATTGCAAAGATCTGCACAGGCTACACAGGACGTAGGCGTTACAACAACAATGACAACACGTTGCCAACGACGCGATGGAGGCCCGAAAACTGCTGCAACTTGCAGTTGCTGCTGCAAACAGATGCGACAGAGCCGACACTCGACAGCAGCAAATTCGTCGCTTGTTTTGAGAAATTGTTAACAAATTTGGGAAGCTGTCGCTGTTTGGTAAACGACACAACAGTCAGGACAGCGAGATAGATATCTCTATAAAAAGTGCAAAAGAAGAGGAAGCTTGAGTGAACTCTCAATTCTCCATTCTCTGAGTAACTAAGAATTAGAAGAAGCTGAATACATTATGGGCATGTTACCGAAGGTGAGTTAAGTTCTTATTATTCGACTTCATTGAGTGCGAAGTCTGCTTTGAACACTCAATAAACAGAATTGTACATCCTACACAAAACAGAAAATAGCCTGCATTATGTACCTAAGTCGATTAATTCCGATCCGATTTCAAAACCATTCAGAAGTTATTTGAAAAGAAGTATGAATTAAATTTAATGAAACATATTTTTAACAAATGCACGACAATATTTGTATATAGCCCGCCGTTTTTCTCTCTGTGTTTTATAATAAGTATTATTAACGATATTATATATATTAGACCTGAAGATCCTTCTATTGACATTTTAAATAAACATAGGGCCGTTCGTTAAGTGAAGGGTTAACTAAAGTAGAGAGGACACGCCCTGCTGTGATCTTTAATAAGGTATATTGAACCACCACAACATTCTCAATAACCTGATCCGAGTAATCCCTTACCGACATGAGAGATTTTTATACTCAAGTACAATCAAAGAATAAGAAATTAAGAAATGAAAATTATTTTTGGCATTCATATCCTCTCGTCGTCCTTCAACCAGTTGAGATATATTTAACAGGGAGATAAGCTTCCTGGTAAATATTATGAAGCCATAAAAAAGTAGTTGATTAATGAGACTGGTACTTGATAAACTATTTTAATTACTCGCGAAGTTAATAGATTTGCACCTTATGTTCCTAAGAAGTTTCGGCAAAGGATCCGTACATAATTATATGCTGAACTTTTTATGCTTTTATGAAAGATACGAAAGATTCACGCCTACAAGTCTAAGTCTATCTCACGAATCTCACGAATTAATTATTAAATATTTAAATAATTATTAATAACAGAAAGAAAAGTTTCTGAGGGTAGAATATTTGGATTTTCATGTGGATGAAATCAAATATAAAACTAATCAGAAAGCAATTCACTGAGCATCCTTCAACAGCTTTGTTGTTGCTTCTTCATATAGAACTGTCTTTAAGTTTTTTCTGTGGATCTGTGTGAGTGCGAGTATTCGAAATGGAACATTGACAGGCGAGCCAATAAAATTCAAATGTGTGGCGATTGTCGCAACGCGCGGACTGTCGCTTCATCTTACGAATGTCAAGCAAAAAAACAAGCGAAATGGGGGGCATAAAAAATGGGAGTGCAAGGAGGGCAGAAACGCCAAACAATAAGACAATGTTAGGAGGAGGAGCTGCAGATAGGGGGTCTGAGGACAGCGGTCGCGCTGTCAAAGCGAGGACATCAGAAGCGAGGATGAAACGAGACTAACACGACAACATGCAAAATATCGCTTGGACAGCCGGGCAAAGGGTTGTGCGGGCGGGGGCGGGGGTCGGCGACTGCACAACATTAGGCAACATGAGCCCCACATATCGCTGCGACGACGACGACGACGACGGCGACGGCGACGGCTTCTCTCTCTTCTTCGCTTCACGCCGAGTGACATCTTGGCCACATATTTTGCTTGTCGAGCGACGGCGAATGAGGACACAATACTGTCAGCCAAAGGAATGCCCGCACATTCATTTCAATAGACCCCAGCTACCCTCCCCCCGCTGCACACACACTCACACATCACATCAGCATCAGCTCGATTGACCGAAATAGAGAAATTCTATAGTTGACTTCGCGCCACGAACCCAACATCATTTATCAGTCGCAAGTTATTGCCAACTCGTCCAGATTTCTGCATACCACACGAGCCCTCAGAGCAAAACATCGAAATGTGTCAAAGCTTGTTTCACAATTTCGAATGTTTCCAACATCCTCCAGCAGCAGCTCTTGGCCCCACCCTTGCCTGATGGTGTCTGATTTTTTAGTCAACTGCAATTTGTTATCCATCAGTTAGTTTTTCTCATAGTGGAAGCTTTTCTTCTTTGCTTTTACAGTTGAAAGGTCGAGCAAGCATTGTTCTATTTCGGGTATATTAAAACGAAGCGTATTTACCAACTTTTTAGACCCTTTTTCATTCAGTATTATCACATAGAGATGACAAGAAATAAGAACCAATCTGAGAACCAATTTAACAAATTTCAATGTTCATTTATTTGTCGAACTATAATTCGCAACTAGTTAAAACCGTTTTCAGACTAAACCAATTTAAGATTTTTTCTAGATCTTTATAAGTTAATACGAACATGTGCTTCCACATCCAGCTTGGGAATCAAACCTAGACTCTCGTTTTTCACTTGCCTACTTGAAAATTCATCTACGAAGTATATTTAAGTGTAAGTCCTTTGTAAGCGTATAGCTTATTCTAGATCAAATTTAATATCCACATCAGTTAAGCCATTATCCCAGTAATTTTTGTTTTCTCACCTCAACTAAAAACTGTATAAATTTTCAGCTATAAACACTCGAGTTTCCAATGAAGAAGTTTCATTTATTGATTCCCGGGCCACCTTGTATGCAGTTATTGGATCTCATCATCATCATCATAATAAGCCCGCCCCCGCGTATCTCGTAACCTTGACGTACATATGCAGAGGCCCAATGCAAGTGCAGTGGAAGAGCATTTAGCCTTTCAACTGCTGGCAATCATTTTTAGCAAATGTGCCATTACAAAGGCGAATTTATGTTATGGCAAATGTTGAATCTGGGATACAAACTCAGCAGCACACATGGAATAATATTTGAGTCATAATTTGATCAACTAAGTTCAAAGAACAGAGGAGCGTGAATATATTTCTTGAATATTATTTGGGCAATAATTTTGAAGGCAGTTTGCAGTCACAAGCATCGAAGAGCACGTAATCAGACGAAATAAACACTTGCGCCTCTAAAATAGATAAAAATATCTACACTTCAATAAACATGAAAATCATGGACTTTCGGACAGGGGGAAACGGGCCCGAAACGACCGCAAAATGTGTTGAAAATTGCGCAGCAATGTGATCATAAAGCATTCGCCATTAATGACACAACCCGACAGATACATCCCATTGTCAATAACTTTTACGCGCCGCAGATTGCCGCCCCGTTCCAAAATCAAATTCAAATTTCCCAAACGAGCCACAGCCACAGCATCAGCATGCATGCACTTGCAGATATGTATATGTGTAGATGCCAATGACGTTACAATTCAGCGAAAGAGGAGGGCATTCGGCAACTGGGTGCTGCGGCTGGCGCAAGTGATGGCATCCGCCAAAGCGCTGTTCGCCAGCGACTAGCGACTAGCGACTCGCGAATCGCACAAGACACTCGCACATCCGTAAATTTATCGACAAACATTTGGACAGCGCCGGGACAGGCGACTGGCGGCGGCGGCGGCGTTGACTAGACAAACTGCGCGATACGCGCGAGAGGCGCAACAAGCGGTGGCAGCACCAGTGCAGGCAGTTCGATGCAGCGAACTGGCGGATCGTTGCTTCCTTTTCAATTATTAAGTGTTGCCAACTATGCGCGAATGGGCGATAAACGAGCCGCATGTGTGTGTGCCTGTGTGTGTTTGTGTGTGCAACTGTGGGGCACTCATAATTCGCGACACGTTGCCGCACCTCGCTGCTTGTTGTGTGTCTTCAATCTTGTGCAATGGATCTGTAACTGCATCCATGTAGCCATTTATTTCGTATTGCCTGGCAGATAACTGCCAATGCATTTTTTCTTCTCCGTCTTCTTCTTCTTTTTCTTCTTCCTGTGGCGCCACCTTGTTGTGCCGCCTGGCGTATTTTTCTATAGCCAACAAGAAACTGTTCGACCAGGAAAGTTAACGCCTCGGGCATTCGAATTTCCATTTGATAGTTAATTTACGACATTTATATGCCTTTGGATGGGTTTTTGGAATCAGCGCTCAACGTGACATTTGCATTCGACTGTTAACTCTCAATGGTCTATGAAAACATATTAAAATTATAGTTTCAAAAAGAAATGCCTATGCTAAATTATAGAAATTAAAACAATGACATTAAAAACATTCTTAATTTCCAACCTATCTGTCTATAAAAAACTAGTTTTATCTTTTTTTTTAAGATATTTCCCTATTTTTATCAGCATTTTGTAAATTATTTGTAATAAAAATAAATATATAAAAATATATAATAAACTAGCTACTGGGGTATACCCCGGCCTTGCCCGTGGTACGTTGGAAAAAAATTCTCAAAGATCTTTGAAAATTAGTTTTAAACCGATCGGACGGTAAGCCAATTTACAACTGTTGCGGGCGAAATTTCCCAAATCACTGAATCACGGATTCATTTAGTTCTTATGTAGAGCTTGAATATAAGTTTAAGTAAATCGGACAAACCTAAAACAAGGACAATGTTGCCATACTTAGATGCCAAATTGATCTAGAGGCCAAACCACGAATGAAAACCTAAGCCTCGTGAAATTCGGATGAGATTTAACCGCGTAATGGGGGTGCGAAATTTTGACCACTGTCTATATAGGATATTTGAGGGTATCATTATCACATGAATTTTGACCAGAAATAATGTTGCCAGATTTAGATGCCAAATTGATCTAGAGGCCAAACCATGAAAAGAAAGCCAAACCTTATGAGATTTGACCGAGTTATGGGGGAGGATAAATTCTTTTATCGCATCATCTTTAAACTTTGCCATTAAATTTAAATAAAAACGATTTAATATTATTTAAAATCAAGTGCTGTCTAAGAGCGAATACTATTTATAAGATAAATCATGAAACTGATAATTTACCTACCCTATCCTACTTATCCTAAGGTATCCTACTATGTTTAATTAAAAGCCTTTCAACTTTAAATGCCTCCAAATTGTAGTTCAGCAATTAGTTAAAAGTTGCATTTCATTGCGTTATTAAAGAGAAAATAATATTCTTCAATAAAAGTTTCGTTACTTTATGCGTATGCAGTATTTATAAGTTGTGGGCGGAAGTAGTGGAGGGGCTTTGATATGATTGGGTAATGTTTACTAATGTAATGGATGCAAGTTCTGAGTTATGTACATTGCATTACACAAAGGCTCAAGGATTTCAACAGCAAAGTCCACTCATAAAATTGCACAAAGACGGCGCACAAATATTGAAATAAAAGCAGGATTTGTGGGCAAAAAGGAAGCAACACCAAAGGATTAACCTAAATAAATACAAAACAGATGTAAAAATTGTGCCAGCGCCCAAAAAAAAAAAACGAAGTAGACAGCATGAAAAGCTCGAGAGAAAATGCCATTTTGAATGAGCTGCCGCTTCAGCCTCAGCTGTTTGCTGCCAGGGTTAGGACTCGGACTCTTCATTATGTCGGACAAATGGAGCAGGACATAACCCGGACGGCGGCGTCGGCGGCGTCGACTGCTGCTCGGCCGACCGCAATGATCTATCGCCTCTGATGGCCGCCAACACACAGCGACTGAGGATGAGAAATAAAAATGCAGCTCTGAATAAAAAGCAAACGCCAAGTGAAATAATAAAAGTCGACAAAGAGCGCCACAAAAAGAAGAAGAGTAAACATTAAGGAATAGCTAGTTTCGGAATGCCAAAGTATTGAATACCCTTGAAGAAGTGCCTTGATACGAAAGTCTTATTTCCGACCGATTGATTCTACAGGAGCTGTATAATATCGTTATCTAATGGGAAAGAGCCGGGCAGATATTTTGGGAACACATTTGGTCATGATTTTTTTAATTGCAGAAACTTTTTTATACAAAATTTTTCCTGTAGAGCTATATGATATAGTAGTCCGATGTTGACAAGATTTAGCTCATATGTAAGGAACTCACAACTGTAGAAATAATGGTTTTTCATACAAGAACTTAATTTTTGACTTAAATAGAGGGTTTCGATCCGGTTAAACCCGACATATGTTTTCCCTGCAATAGGACTAAACTTAGACACGGCCGTTGGATACTGGTCCAGAATTTACATACTTTGTCGGAAGACATTTTATATGCGTTATAGAATTGTAATACCCTCGGCAAGGGTATGCCGATGAGAGAAACAAATGCGCGTAAAGGGATATTGTGGCTAAATGCAGGCTGATGGCGAGTGGCGGCTGGCGGCCACTTCATTATGTCGGCAATGCATGAAGTGTTGAAAAATGATTCCCTCAGCATCATCAACACGAGCAGCAGCAGCAACAGCAGCAGAGGGCGCTGGGCGCTGGGGGAGTTGAGGCGTGGCAAGTGCATTTGACTTTTATGCTTGCTGAACGCCCACGGGGACTAGCGCGGGCGTTGAAACGAATCCGCTTTTGCACAAAGCGCCGCAGGATTTCAAATAGTTTCCAATGCAACAGACAAAAGCATGGAAAGTGTTTGCCAGCTGCCTCCCAAAGCCAGCGTTAAGTGCAGCGGACACTGAAACGCACAGCTGTGTCTTGGTCCACCCTACTCCAACCTGGCCCCACTCTAGCTGCCCCTTTGGCATCATCAGCGCCCAGTCGACGTCATCATCAGCGTTGTCGTAAATTGTTTACTTGATGCCAGCAAAAGTTACTTCAAACAAAGTCATGTGGACACTGAGCAGCACCAGCACCAGCACTAGCAGCAGGACAGGGTGTATCCTGGACAGGATGGGAAGGCACAGCACAGGGAGCTGCCAGCCGACATCAGGCAACAGGCATCAGGCAACGAGGCGACCATCAAGTGCAAAATGTTTTGGTATCGGGCACATAATGTGAGTTCTTTAAAACTTTTATATGCACATGGCCCCACTCATAGACTCCTTTCGTAACCCTGCGCCACGCTCCACGTACCGCCACGGCTGCATATTGCATATTAAAGTAATAATGAGATGAGCCAAAGTGCCAGCTGAAAGCGCATTTTTGCCACATCTGGACATTGAAAGTTGAGGTAGATGCCAAATTGATGTAATCATCAGAAGAGAATACCCTAGTACACCCTATAGAGTCTGAAATATTAATACTAAAAGTGTTTAGCCCCGGATAAATTGGGTCTTTTATCAAGGAAGAAAAAATGAGTCCTTGGTAGATGAATTTACTAAATGCCTATAAGCCTATTAGGTTATTTATTTAGACATCATGCTCTTTTATAAAAAGATGTGGCATGACTGAAGTGTTTTCATAAGTCTATATATTTATAGGCTTTTTTTTGGAATTCAAAATGAAACCGAAATCAAGGGGCGCTGTCGTATACAGTCGAATGCAAACTAAAACTTTAGACTAAGACTGTCTACTAGATAAATAATTTAGAATAGAAGACTTTTAGATAGAGAAGACTCCGAGCAAAATACTCTGTAGTGCTTGTGGTTATCATTGCAGATGACTCGGAACGGTTCTTGAAAGACGTAGTTGAATATAACGTGTTAGTCTGGTAGAGACATGGAAATTTTATTGGCAAGTCAACCAATCTCGGCTAATAATCTAAAAGTAATTTTTTTATACAAATAATTGTACAATTAGAGAGGAAGAGATCTATATAACCTAGAATGTCAGTCATTGATTCCCATAAAAGATTTTAATAAAAATAATCATTATTTCTTCGCTTACTATTTTTTTTTTTAACTCAAAGTCCTTTGGTAATTTAATTTTTAATTATTTATTTTTTTATATTCCCGACAAATGTAAGATCTCATAAATTAGCTACTTCATTGAAGGAAGCCATTTCTAACATTAGATTAATTTAAGCTTAAACATGATTAAAAGCGAGTTAATATAATATTAACTTCTATATACTTTTGTTCGACCGCATTCAAGAGCAGAAAAAAACGTAATGCACAGAGCATTACTTTATGTCAAGTTTCTGCAAACTGGGGGGAAAAAAAAACAAAAGCAACAAAAAAAATTGGATAAAGGGTTGTCCGTGAGGATGAGGCAACTCTGACAGTGACACGGACGTCACTTACAAAAGTGGAAGTCCAATGTGGACCGACCACCGCCCAGCGGCTGCATTGCTCTCAAAGTGTCCCTCAGAAACCCCCTGGTGCAACCTTTACGTGTGTGTGTGTGTGTGTATGCTGGACACTCTATTTGTATTTCCTCTGAAAATTTATTGTAAAACTTAAAAGTTTTGATGGAAAAATGAAATAAATAGTGACATCACTAAAAGTAAAGAAATTATAAAGTGTCACCGGGGATGATAAGTGGGCTACAGCAGCAGCAGCAGCAGCAACAACAATAACAACAACAACAATAACGAGTACGTTGGCAACAGCATCAACAGGAGTGACATTGCCAACAAAAACAACAACAACAGCTACAGCAGCAGCAGCAACGACGAGCACAAGTTGAGGCAGGACCGTCAGGACTTTAATAAGGACATTGGACAAGCAACAGCAATGCCAGCGCTGCCATCACGGACAGCCGGACAGACGGCTACAGGACAATGCGGTGGCACGTGCGGAGGCCAAGGAGCGGGTTGATTTAAACCAAAACACGCAGCAGCAAGCACATAGTATATCCAACAGAGCCGGACAATTGATGTGATCGTGAACGCAAGCTGGGTAGCTAGAATATAGCAATACTCTATAAATTTACATACTGAATAGTCTATAATGCTAAACTAAACAAAGGATCTACAGCATGATCTAAAAAAAAACCCTGCATTTGCAAGAAAAAAGCTGACACGAAAAGATGAAGGAAAAAAATGTTCTAGAAATCTGCAAGAATTGCCAAAATTATCAAAAATATTCTAAACATGTAAATCAAAAATATTAATATGTTCCATGAAAAAAATACTTAAGATTGACATTTTCAAAACCTTTACATCTAAAATAATATAAATATTACATAATATAATAATAATATAATATAATATACGTTTGTATTGTTAATGGTTTATTATTTTCCTTTATCTGGAGTTTTCTTTTTACATTGTATTAGCTTTTATCGTGGGCATTCATAGTTGCTCACTCGATTGGCCACAGCCAACTTAACGTTGTGCAGCGTTGCCAGCCTAGCATTAAGTATAGATACACACTCACACACACACAGGCGCACACATATTTAGACTCACTCACATGGGGCAACTCTGAAAGGCAGCAAATTGACAGGTTCAACGAACAGAACGTCAAAAAACTTAAGAACTATTAAAGTTCTTTTTATTTTTGCCGCTGTGCTTCTGATGTTTTCTTCTGCTACTATTTTTTCTGCAAGTTTAATTCTAACAACATTTCAACTTTCACATATTCTCTGAGGACAACAAAAAAATAAAGGAAAATAAATAAAATGCAGGACATTCACTTAAAGTTTTGCTGTCAGTTTGCTGCTTGCCCTCACTTCATTCATGCAACGTTTAAGTTTCCATCATTATTTAGCACAAAGACGCGGCGACTGGCCACATGGGGGACTACGGCAACTGACCATGGCCCGAGCCGGGCCCAAGGCCCCAAACGCCTGAGCTCCGGACAGCGACGGCGGCGCCTCTAGAATATTTGAATGCTTTCCCGCTCTTAACACTTTGATGCTGATGATATTTTATATGTATTTATTTTGAGAAGCGAAAAATAATAAGGAGATGAGCCAGGCAAGATTTAATATTAAAGATGTTCCGGAACATTTTGGTTTAATGGGTATGTTAGGCAAATATCTAGTTAATGTCCTTCAACACTTTAACTTGAACTAATAATCAAGGGACAAACTTTATCAATAGTTAATTTAAATTTAATCAATTAAAATCAATATTTGTAAATTATTCTTAAATGCTTTTCTTGCTTCTTTCTGAGAAAAAATATATGTTTATAAAATAAAAATTTTTAATATAAATATATATACTAGGGGGTATACCCCGGCCTTGTCCGTGGCCCGTATCAAATAAATTTTCACAAAGATCTTTGAAAATGATTTTGAAGCCGATCGGATGGTAAGCAACAAATTTTCATAAAAACGAAACAGAAACCCTGTCTTAACGTTCCCTACATCACATAAGGTAACTACAGTGAAAATTTCAGCTTCCTAGCTCTTACGGCCTGGGCTGTGCGTTGATCACCAATCAGTCAGTCAATAAGTCAGTCAGTCAGTCAGGACAAACAGTTTTATATATAGAGAGATTAATATTTTTAAATTATAAGAACTTTATCCGACTATAAATGTTCTAACTTAATTCCGCTCCTATAAAAACCGATTAATAAGGATAATATTAATTGTTATAAATTTAATCTATGCATCATGCTCTCTTTCTTCATCAGTCTCATATATTTCCTTTCTTTTGTGTTTGCCTGTCCACTTGCTTGGCTCGACAGGGCCTGAGTGGGGGTGGACAGCTTTCAGGTTGACATATCAAAAGTATAAAATATTTTAAAAGAAATGTTTTCGGTGGAAAAGTTTTCAATTACAACATTATAAAGATCGACAAGCTGTCTGCGGCAATATGGCTGGACAGGGTCCGAAACTCACTCACACAAACACAAACACACACACACACATGCACTGTGTGCCAGAAATTATTATTTATATGCGCTGCGAACGAAATTCATGTTCGACACACGTCTCTAAGGATTAACAGGAGTGACCACAAAATCATCATCAGCACAAAAAGGCCAAAAGTGTTATGGCTAAAGCAGAGACGATGATGGCCAGAAGAGGGACCAGTCGGGCGTCGGGCGTCGTCGTCGAGGTGGGTGCAACGAAGTTTGACGTGTGTCTGGACGGAAGCTGTTCGCAGTGAAGTTTCTCTAAACTACACAAATTTTTGTATAAAAATGCCCGATGACTCAATTGACGAGCTGAGCGGGGGTTGGGCTTTAGCCAGGGAGGACATTGAAAAAAAATGAATATATATATACTGAAATATGTAGAAAAATGTTCCCAAGACAGGAGCTGGCCGCTGGGTCCGGCTAACAGTTACTAGATCTAAGGAATATGCTCCAAACAGTAAAAAGTGTCCATCAAGTAGCGAGAACTTTTTTATACGTGGCCAAAAGCGAAGTGTGTCCAAGCTGTCAAAAGCCACTATAAACTTGTGACGTGTCAAGCGTCACAACATGCCCCAAATGCTCCAACTACCCCTAACCCAGCGCCGGACAGTACTCGACTGCATGTGAAACTTTTGAACTTATTTCTCAATCGCTTTTTCTTTTCATTTTTCCTTTCTTCTGCCATAAGTATGTAATTTTTTAATAACGATAAACGGCATGCCATGCATGACAGTTGAGCTGCCTGACCTCAGTTAGGGTATGAGCTATTTGCCGTTCCCTGTACTTCATTGTACATAACTGTCAGCTTAAGTGAAAAATGTCATACGCGCGTCTGTCCAAAGGTGGCGTCCCGTCTGCCTCTCAAGAACTCGCCGTGCTAAAGCAACAGCGCCCCCTGGCGGCCAGGGCAGCGCAAAACTTTGCACATCAAAATCACACGGCATGTCAACGTCACTTGCCAACTGACCAAATGAAGAGGAAGAGAAGGAGCTGGAGGACGACAGCGTAATGGAATGCTCAGAAAAAATAATGAGAAGGGGAACACTTCGCGTTCCATTTCGGTGGTTTTTCCACTGTCTTTCGGTGGCTGTGTGTGTCACAAATCCTTCACAGCCAATGACCGACCATATAGTAATTATGATTTTAAAATTTATAAATCATATTATTAAATTTCCTCTTCCCAAATTTTAAACTTCAGTATTGCAATATCGTTATTCCAATTAGTCAGATAGTTTTTTAGAGGAGCTAATTTGCTAATTTTTAGTTTAAATTTGATCACTTTAGCTATTAAACTGTGGGATCTTTCGATTTTCGCGATTTGTCACGCCACCTATGGGCGTAGGCATAAATTAACCAACAATTTGCTAAACGTTCTTATACACAAGTATGTACATACATATATATGTACGTATATATTCCAGGACTCAAGTCTCTAAATTCCAAGCCGAAAAAAATTGCGTTCAGACGGACAGATGCACAGCAAGTCGGACATATCAAAAAAGAAACATATGCTGAAATATACACACATTCATACATTCATATACTACATATACTTTTCTATTTACTCCTTTCACTTTCTGAACGCGTACAAATGTATGTATGTATATACACATATCCATACATATGTAAAATGCATGTAGTATGTATGTGTATGTGTGCACATGTAAAATGGTAAAGATAACTGCACAACGAAAACAGCTTAGTTTTTTTGCACATAACAACAAAAATGCAATTGCCTTTAAAATTGGTATAAAATCATACATACATACATCCATACATAATATATATGTGCATCCACATATTAACACAAGAACTTTAAAATTGATAATTATATTTATGTAACTGAATTAATACGCATGTACATGCATGTCCATATGTAAGTTAGATATAGAAAATTAGACATACATATGTATGTACATATGTACATATATACGTGGCCATGCATTCACCTATTACCAAAAACACATTAAAATTCATAATTATATGTATGTATGTCCATATGTAATTTAAGTATAGACAATTATCGGTTAGCACTATTCATACTTATATATTCACACAGTACCGTATATACCAAACACATATGGGCATCGTATACATACGTACATACATATATAATACAGAATTAGCACTTACCACTTTTATTTTCGGTTCAATTAGATTATAAATTATTTCGTAATTTGTATTTTAATTGTCTGTTGCTATTTATTAATGGTTTGTTTTATTTGTTTTAAAATTCGGCACTTCACTTCACAAACTTCACTACTTACACTACTTTACACTTCCACAATGAAAAAGAACTAAATTTGACGACGAGAGCGCGACTTTCTGTTACGCCTTGTTACCATTCTGTTTCCAATGCACAACAAGTGAGAGTGTTCTAGTAGGGAATGCCCAGCCATGAGATACCCTAAGCCCAGGATACGCTGCTGTTGCAAAACATTTGAACATGCTGACAGATAGACGGACCTCACCAAATGGATTTGCATATTGCACTGATCAAGAATATATATACTTAATGGTGTCGCAGTGCCTCCTTCTGCCTGTTACATTCATTTCAAAAATCATCAAATCCCTTCTACGCATTTTCAAAGAGTACAGGATATACAAATGCAGCTTTGTTTTCGCAAATTCTTTTCAATTTCGTCGTTCTCTTCACCCGCTCATTTCTGTTGTTGTTGCGCATTGGAAGAAGCATAATAAGATAGAGTGAAGAATTGACGCGGTGGCGGCGTCAAATTTAGTTTAATTTGTGAAGTGAAAGTGTTTTGTGAAGTGCGGTGCGGTGCGCGGTATAAAAAAGTAAAACAGCCAAATAAATAAAACCAAAAACTAAATAACTAATAATATGTTCGTATTGTAATATGTCTAAGCAGCAAACGAATAAGTGTTTCTAACGCAACAACAAAAACGCGGTAATTGTGCAGTAGTTAATTATGTATGTACATATGTGCTGCAGTATGTACATATGTATATACATAGTTTTTTTTTTTTTTTGTTACGTGCATATTTATATTTATATTCACATATGTATGTATGCATGTGGTATTGCTAAAATTGTAAGTGGTCATTCAAATTGAGTAAAACGGGTATAATGGTTTTCTACAGTGTATGTAACAGATAAAAACTCCATTTATTTTATTCTTGATCAATGTCCGTTTTTTTGTGTGCACAAACGCATAAAGCAGCTTGAGTGCCTGTGTGTGTATATGTGTATATGAAGAAAGTTCCAGTGTTTGTTATGGCAGCTAAGAGCTGGGCTTAGGGTATCGTCTTGTCGATCATTCCCGACTGGAGCAATCTCAATTTTTGAGCATTGGCAAATGAATGGATAGAAGTAGCGGAGGAAGAAGTGGAAGAAGGACGGGTAGTCGGCAGCAAATTTACTTCGATCGCCAAAGTGGAAGTGTAAAATAGTGTAAAAAGTGAAGTACCCGTTATAAAGCAAATAAAACAAATAAAAATTATTTTAATAAAACCAAAAAATCAAAATGAAAAGCAAAACTCATACAAACTCTGTGTGCAGCTGCAAGAAAACCGTAAGTGCTAAGTTTACAATAGAATAATTATGTATATACATACATAATACACATACATATGTATGTACATATGTGTGTCGGTATAAACGTTACTGCGAACATATGTAAGTATGTATGTATGTACATACTCTGTGCAATTGCTTTTAATTATGTTTGTATAGATTTACATGGTTATATAGAAAAAATAAGTGAATTTTTTTCAATATTTATGCTAATGTATACACACATATATATATATCGGCTTATTTTTGTGGATTTGACAATAATATAAGGTTTTAATTGTCGTTTTATACTCATCACCCATTGAAAATTGGTAAAAGGAGTATAATGGTTCTGTAGGTGTATGCAAAAGACTGAATGAAGCATCTCCGACCCTATTTGGTATATAGATTTTCGATCCATGTCTGTCTGTCTGTATGTGCTTGTGCTTGTATATGTGCATATGTTTACTGAAGAATGTTCGAATGTTTGTAATGGCATCTGAGCGCTGAGTTCAGGGTATCGCTTAGTCGCGCATTGCCAACTAGAGCAATTTTAGATTTTGGGCAACAGATGAATGAATGAAAAGAAGGGGCGAAAGAATAAGATGGCAAAGGTGCAAGTAGAAAATGGAGAAAAAATATGGAATTTGTGAATTGTCCGCCATAAGGCAAATAAAATATACAATAAATATTTTTATAGTACCATAAAACCAAAATTTATGCAAAAACTTATAGCAATTGCTAAGTGAAATGAGAAAAAAAGGCGTAAGAGCTAATTGTGTAATTGCATAGTTGTGTATACATTCATAACTGCATGTACAAATGTGTGCCTGTAAAAACGATACTGCGAACTTGCATAAATATGTATGTATGTGTGTAGATACACTGTGCGATTAGTTACTTACATACATACTTATGTACGTAGAACTGCAAATGTGTATAGATAATTAACAATATTGATGGGATTATATATATAATATGTATGTTCGCATGTATGTATTTGAATATATACATATATGTATATGTATACGTATAAGGTATTAAAGTGGGTAAATAGGGTAAAATTAGTTTGTTGAATTGTATGTGACAGCCAGCAGGAGGCACCTGAGACTGCTTCAAGTTTATATACAGTGGCTCACAGCTTATTTCAACCAGTACATAAAAAAAACTTTGGGAAGCTATAAAAACTAAATTAAGAATGATATTCAAATGATATAAATGCAGGTTTTTAAATTATTGTTTCAAGTTTTAAACTATGACTTCATATATTTTTTAAATATTTTTTTTAACATCTTATAACAACTAAAAACAAAATCACAACCCAAAACAATGTCACAGCTTATTTCAACCATTTTCTTGATTCAATTTCAAATAAAAAGTTTACAGCTAAACAATATTTTTTAATATTTAGTATGACCACCCTTGTGATCAATAACCATTTTGAGCCTTTTTGGCATGGATTCTACCAACTTTTGGGTAACCTGTGGCGAAATTTTGGCCCATTCCTCAACCAATGCAATTTTAAGATCTAACTTATTAGATATTTTGCGTTTGCGAATGTTTGAATCCAAAATGGACCACAAATTTTCAATAACATTTATGTCTGGCGACTGTGCCGGTGGCTGCATAACATGTGGACAGTTCCAGATCAACCATGTCTGAACAATACCCGACTTATGTTTCGGATCATTGTCTTGATAAAATCTGAACACATCCCGAATGCCCAGATTTTCCGCACTTTCTATTAAATTATTTTTCAAAATCTCAAGATATTGAGATTTGTCCATTGTCGTCTCAATAAATTGCAGATTTCCAACGCCGGCTGCCGACATACAGGCCCAAACCATAACGCTCCCACCGCCATGTTTTACTGTAGCCTTCAAATTTTTTGTTTGCAGCTCTGTATTTGGTTTACGCCACACATATGAGGCTCCATCAGAGCCAAAAATATTAAATTTGGACTCATCGCAGAATATGACGGTGTTCCAAAAACTATCGTCCTTATTAAAGTGCTCCTGGGCAAACTTTAAGCGGCACTTCTTATTTTTCTCACTAATAAAGGGCTTCTTGCGCGCTATTCTGCCATTGAAATCATGTTCCCTAAGCACCCGGCGAATAGTTTCTGGGTGGCATGACTTGCCCAACTCTACCTCCACATCATTGGCTATTTTTGGAGCCGATAGCCTTGGATTTTCCCGGATTTTCCGAACAATATAACGCTCGTCGGTTGAATTAAAAATTTTGTTGGGAGCATTTCTCCCCTTATCATGGGTTCTATTTTCTCGGACAAATCGGTATATTATACTCTGCACTGTAGAATCACTCAGTCCAACCATTTCACCAATTTTCCTGCGCGAATGACCGTTTTTAAAATGATTGAGAACGAGTTCTCTCTGCTCGATAGTTGTTCGTGGTCCCATTTCGCTAAATACAATTTTCTGCAAGATCTATTCTCAAAATTCAGCTAAAATGTATTTCACCATATTGCGAATTTAATAAGTAAAGCAAAAAAAAAGGAAACAACCGTTGCATCGTAAGATAACGGATCATTGCCCAATTGCAAAGTCTCTGGTTGAAATAAGCTGTGACATTGTTTATGGTTGAATTCTTAGTTTTTAGCTATTATAAAATAGTTAAAAAAATTGCAAAAAATTATCGTAATCATAGTTGATAACTTTAAGCATCAGGCTAACAACCTGCATTTCTAAAACTTTGATATATCTTTAAGTTTAGTTTTTATAGCATTGCAAAGTATTTTCAATGTACTGGTTGAAATAAGCTGTGAGCCACTGTATGTATATTCTTGATCAGGACAACGAGCTTATTCGTTTTAGCCAAGTCCACCTATTCGACTGTATAAACGCGTCGTTCTCAGAAGCCTAACTATAAAGTGATTCGTATGTGTCCTTATATGATCTTCTAACATTTTCCATTATCTCTGTCTACCATAATATTCCTCTCCGTCTCTCCTAATAGACTGCGTTGATCCTTCCTCCGATAGTTTTTGCGGCGTATCCTTAAAATTTTACTGGCAATTGAAATAAATTTCTTTAAGTGATTTCGTTGTTGAATTTTATCCGATATAAGAACAATTCATTTAATGGATCTACTTCCCTTTTTCTATTTAATTTATTACTCGATAAACATTTATTTGAAAATGTTTGTTGGAAAAGGCCACTGACATTTTACAATCGGACTTGTGACTGAGCCTGAGAGACACTTGCACAAATGAACATTTGCAGAAAGAGTTCGACTGAGTGACAGTCGGCAAGACAGCCGACAATGTTCAGTTTTCAAATACTCAAACACTAAGATGGCAATACTTGCTATAGACACACACACACCCGCACACACACCCGCACACACACCCGCACACACTCAGTGCTAACTAAACAAACACGTACATACTTGTATGTCAAAAGTATTTCGAGATTTTTAGCTACAAAACTGCCAATAACAAAACTCCAAGCATCCAACCTTCATGTGGAACAGCGCCTCCCACTCCCCGGCATCGCCCCCAACCCGTTGGCGGATGCAGTTTGGACAAATGACAGCAGACACAGCCTCATCTCGTCTCGTCCTCGTTGCCCATCCTCCAACACGCACCACCCACACGGCGACAGGGAAAGACAAGCAAATGATGAACCGGCATATAGAAGACTAGATTTTCATTTCGCCTTTGAACTAGTAGAGTGAGCGAAAGAGAGGAAGGTAGGGGGGGGGGGGGTGGAGGAGCAGATACTGATGTAAAGGAAGTTCATTTTGCGAAAGGGCAAAGATGTTCATCAATGGGAGGCGAGTGAAATGAGCAAAAAAGCCTGCTGGTTGACAACTAGCAAAGTATTTTTTATTTTGTTGGTCATGTACATAAAATATTTTATTTCATTTGGGATTCTCAAGTGAACACATCTCCAAAATACATACGTATATGTAAAATCTCTCACTTGAAAAATAGTTGACATTTTGAGTATTATTTTAGATTTTAGTGAGCCTGTCTTTGCAGTTCCTGATCAGTGACAGGCGATGCAAAGGCATTTAATTGGATGGGCATTTATGGGCAGGTCTGTTGCCTTTGGCCTGGATAGCTTTTAAGTCTTGACTCGACGATAAAATAATTGTTCGCCATGTAGGTTTCTTTTATCAGAATTGCTTTCGTTGTCAATTAAATGAAAATAATGAAACTCGCAATGCGGGAGATGAGCTGCAAGTCAAATGCTCAACAATAAGTAGCAACGCTTAAAATAAATCTGATTCATCTGTTCGGATTTCTGGTTGGTTTTTCTCTTAGTCTTTTTGGTTGTCAATCAAACTGCAACTTACGTATGTCTCAGGCAAATCAAACTGTTTTCCTACATTGCAATTACTTGTCTACCTATCAACCCATCCATCCATTTACCCACCCATCCATCCATCCATCCAGCCATCTATCCATCTAACACAAGCGCTCAACTGTCCAAACTGTCTATTCAACTGGCCATCTAATTGCAGCAGTCAGCTCACTCGGATGGCCATCATTCTCAACCCAACTCCTGCCGCAAGGATTCTACCAGAGAATGTCCTTTGCAGCAGCATCCGTTGTGTGTTTCGGCTTCTCTGTTGTGTAATGTGCTATCGTCCCTGTCTTTAGTTGTAAATTTTAGTGTTTAGTCCTTTATTATTTTCACATTTTGCAGTCATTTACACTGCTCAGCGGAATAATACAGCTGCACTTGTGTGTCCTGTCCAACTGACCGTCCATCTCGATGTTCATCCGTCAGAAGTCCGGTTGATGTTGTCCTTCAGCTTTCGCTTCCTCCAACGGAATTTACTTCAAATACCCTTCAGTTTAGATTCTAGTGCGTATATTTCGAGTGGAAGCATCCAGTCTTTAAACGAGTCTTAAGCATGTAGCGAAGAGTATGTAACGAGTGGAATTAAGCAACGAATAAGAGTTTATAATGAATATATGTAACGAGTATATTTAATTACTATAAATCAGTATGTGGAGTTGAGGTAGAGTAGTTAGCCAAAATAATTTGT